TGTACTCGCTTGTTTAATTAGTAAATCTTTCTAGAATACAATGACACCATACCACATCAGTATGTAAACCAGGTGGCGCCAACATTTATTTATTTATTTATTTATTTTTCTTACAAGAGCTACGAGCAACTTCTACAAAAAAAAAATGTTAACCCAGCCAGCTGACCTAAGTTGGCAACCCTGCATCTGTCGTCCGTCTCCCTGTTGTCGTATCCGCACGGGAAACTGTGCTGTCCCTCCCTGTGCCTCATAATCACTGTTTTACATGCCAACTTTTGCATTCTGCTTCAAGACAGAGCATTTGTTGTTTACTAACTGAAATTGCAGTCAGACCCCTTAAGCTGCAGCAGCCGTGATTTCTTTCGTCTCGGAGAATGTAAACAAGAAAGTGTGAAAACGACGCTTCCGTTTTGCCGCCAATGCTGCAAACCTACAGCGCCGCCTAGCGGCCAGGCTGTCCGGTTACGGCGCAGGGTCAGCGCGCGAAGAATCAGCCCCGAGAAGCTCAGCAGTCGATCTGCTGTCTTAACGTGACGAAATTGGTTGAAAGTGACGCCCCCTTTCTCTCGCCAAACTGGATTGTTTACGTGTGTGCTTGTTCACAATCGCTAAAAAAAAACATTTAGACCAAAAAACGAATAATCGTAGGGATTGTATCCGATCAGGCTGACGTACGTCAAGTGCCGCTAAACAGAAAGTGTCTGTTGGCCGCGGATGTGCTGGGCTTCCCGTGGGCCGATGCGTTGGCCACCGTGCCGAGAGAGTTAGCTACCGAGCAAAGTGTACTGTCTGCTTGAGAGGGTAAGAGAAATAACATCGTAGAAACCATGCTAAAACGATCACAATAAATTCACAAAAGAACGGAATTAATCCTGCTTCTGAACTTACTCTGTTATTCTGTTCATCAAGACTCATTTTTAACATTAGCATTTTACACATTTTGCAGACGACGTACATGCTGTCAATCATTATACAGTACTTATAGCATAACGTATGTTATTTTTTTCTTTCCGGCTTGATCGTTCCTTTAGGGGTTCATTGTTTTGCGCCTGGCTGCTTTGACATTTGCTGTAGAAAAAAATAACACTGCAATTCTTTTAAACAAAGAAATAGCTACATAAAACGGATCGTGGTCTAGGGGATTAAATATTATATAGTATTGTATTGTTCTGGATCGGTTTGTTTCGCCTTCTCTCGTGATGCATCTTCCATATGTTCCTTGATTATGATTTTTAAAGAGAATAACGCGGAGGCAGACTTCTCTGCCTTTGCTTTCCTCCGTTATTACATTGGCTAATATTAAATAGTCCTGTCAGTTTGTTCGTCTTTAATACATCTTCATTTACCCCCTTGCCATCGCTTCTTGTTGAGCAGCTGGAGGGATGGGCTCCCTGGGCAGTCGGCTCCAGGCTTCCCCCCGGGGCCCACAGGGGACAGCGGAGGGTTCATGCGGAGCCTCCAGACATGGGTGCGAGTGCCGCAAGAGGAAGCGCAGCTCGGGGTGCCAGTGTGACAGCGAGCCAGAGGAGGAGGACAGCTTGCTGAACACGCCGAGGAGGTGAGGGCTGTCGGTGACTCCAGCACGCTCTTCTGTGCTTTAACCCTCAGCACAGTACCCATCAACGTCTTATTCAGTGGCATTGCTGTTGGACCATTGAAGAGGGTAGAATAGCATATAAAAGACGCATAAGTGAGTCATGTAGGCCATGTGTTGCTTTCAGTGAAACTAATAATTTCAACAGGAAAACGTTGAAAAGCACCTCTAAGTACATCTACCAGACCCTGTTCCTCAATGGTGAGAACAGTGACATCCGGATCTGTGCCCTGGGCCAGGACTGGAACCTGCACAAGGTCTATCTGTGCCAGGTGAGGGGGGAGTGGGGGGGGGGGGTCCGTTTTTTATGGCTTAAACAAACATGCAATGTCCTGATTAAAGACTGAAATACGTAATAAATAGGGCTGAACGTTTTGGGGAAAATATCTGATCGCGATTTTTCTGACAAATATTGCGATTGCGATTTGATTTGCGATATTTTTTAAAACTCAAGCTTCAGTTCAGTGTGTAATAGATTTAAAACATGTGACGCAGCATCACCACTTGAGATACCATCAAAATATGAACTGGTCTACACTCACCTGTTCAATTTCTCATTAATGCAATTATCTAATCAACCAATCACATGGCAGTTGCTTCAATGCATTTAGGGGTGTGGTCCTGGTCAAGA